AAAGGCATTTAAGGTGAATGATTTCCAAAATTGTGCATATTCCAATTGCCCCTTTAATGTCTGCATACTTTGATACTATGTGTTTTGGCAAACTCTAAAAATTTAGCGTGCATTGCTAAAAAACACAGGAGCCCTGTTTCTCTACCTCTCAGAACCCAGCAGGGCAACGTGTTGGTGGGACTGACTTCCTGGCCTCAAACATTGAAGGCGCAAGTTGAGCTGGCCGCACATGTCTCCAAATTCTCTGTCACCATCTCCCTCAGACCTCCGGCCCTCCCAGGCTCCATCCCACGACCCGCGACCGCACTCACCTCCCGCGCCCTGCACGGGAAGGTCGCCCGCACAGACCGCCATCGAGATGGCGGGTTTTATCCGGACCTGGACGGAGACGCCACCTTGGACACAAGCACGCCGCAGACTCTGAGCAGGGTGAAGGCGCGCTCGGCCATCGGCTTCGCCAGGCCGCCCCGGGCAGAAGGAGCCTCTAGCGCGGGGTCGTCCCCACACGCCGGCACCCCCACTTACTCCCGCGCGCGCACGGCCGCTCCAGTGGAAGGAGGGAGTTTCCTGCAAAGGCGGAGGAAATGTGTAGACGCCCTGGGGTATATTCCTACTCTTGTTTCTTGCCTCTGCTCCCCCCCTCCTCGGCACCGTCCCGCGCCGGGGTTCGGGTTCCACTCCTGCGCTCCACTCATCCCCCACCCGGTAGGCCGGCTGGGCTCCGGGCCGTGAGACAGGGGGGCGCCCCGCGCCCTCGGTGGTTCCGGGCAGGGGCCACCGCGGCGGGGCGCCTGGGCTGCGGGGCCCGGGCTCCACGCGGACCCCTGCAGGACGCACCCAGGCCGCCCGGCGGGGCGCGGGCCGAGACACACTTACCTGCGGCGGCGGCGGGGCAGAGCCCAGGGCGCCTGCGACGTGGGCCCGAGCGCGCAGGCCGGGCCGGGCGGACTCCGGAGCGCGGGGGCCAGGCCGCCCACAGCCCTCCGCCCCCTCCACCCCCTAACCGCCGTCTCCGGCCGTGCGCGCCGGGCAGGGCCCCGACGCACTTCCTCAATCCTGCAGCCGGCGGGCGGGCGGCGCGAGGGACGCGCAGTGCCAGGGTCCGCCGTTCCGGGCCTCCCGGGGCCGCGCGCGAGGCGTCCCTGTGGTGGCCCGCCCGAGTGTCCCTAGCCGTATAGACCGCAGTTTATCAGATCTGCTGCCCCTGCAGCGCGGCGTCCCCTCCGGGTCTGGATACCCGGCTCTCTCCACGCGGGGCAGGCGCAGCGGCAAGATCGGTCGTTCCTCGGCTCAATCCAGCTTTGACTGTCTCTCTGCTCTGCTCAGTCCCAAAATCCGCGGCTTCACCTCCGACTCGTCTATGCTGGCCGTATACTCTAGCAGTAAATATTAAAAATACTGTCCAAGGAATATTCATTTATGTACAACTCTTTATAGGGCAGTATAGGCATGTGTCTTTTTAAAGCTTAATATTTTGCAAAACAGCGTCCCTTCCACCACGTGAATCTAATTTAATTATGAATGTATATAACAACTACTTGGTGAGTCATTTAAAATTGTGTAGGGCTTTTTTTGTTTTGTTTTGCGGAGGTACATAAAACATGGGCAATCTTGGCGATTTATTACGTTTCGACCTAATGTAATTATTAGGAGGCCATTAGCCAAACGCAGATCATAAAGACACACGTCCGTGCGGCAGGCAGATGTTGGATTCGGCTCCACGTGCCCATGAGAAATAGAAGCCTGCTGGGAAAGAAAGAGATGGTTCTGCTCGCTGGTAGGACCGGTACCCTAGGCCTCTCGCAGGTAATATTATGACTGAATATTCCCAGAATATAGCACAAGGCACAGAGACACATTGACACCACCCTCACTGCCATTTCATAAAGCCAGGAAGCCTTCCGGGACACTTTAGGCAGTGGCCTCCAAGAGTGGCTTGTTGGTGCCCTGCTGGCGAGGGCAACACCTGGGAGCTTCGCTTTTCTCCCAAGAGGCTGCCCTCCAGCTCTTCTGCTCGCGACGCCTTTCCAAAAGGGAGAGTGCAGTTTTGCAATCCTGTCCTCACCATTGCGGCCCTTATTCCAGTGTGCAAAAGGCAGTCGAGTGATTGCTACCGAAAAGTCCCTAATAATTTGCAAGGGCGTGGCGTCCGCAGTCTGACTGAGCATCGCGATCCCTGCGCTGCTCCTCCGGGGCGCGAGGCTCGCCATCTAGCGGCACCCTGAGGAAGAGCACCCCCAGTGCCCGGGACGACTGTGTAGGGCATGTGGCCAAAGCAGATTTGGGAGTAGGTTAGGACACGTCTCCAGCGTAACTGGGACACCTAACACACACTGGGCTCTTTCAAGCTGGGCATATCCCAGCACTCCATCTATTTGGCTTGAGTTAGTCGGAGGTTTACATGGAACGGCTGTTACAAGTCAGTTCCATACTGCTTCTGGACCCTGCTGATCTGTCTGTAGTTTTCCCACTTTTGCTTCCCATCCTACCCACATTCTCAGCATCTCATGTTGGAATGACTCCTCCAAAGAGGGGGTCAACTGCAAGCTGCCTCACCTAACATTTCTGCCTTCTTATGGCATAGTGGCTGGCTGCTTCATCTCTGTGTCTTCTAGTCATCTTTCTTCAGCTAGGTATTCAGTCTCCTCAGACATTCCTTCTTGGACACATTTTTTTTTTCTATTTTAGATCCTTCATTACAACTTCAAGCTCAAGTCAGTCACATGCAAGGAGCAAGGATATTGAAAGGGCTTCATCCACCATCAGGAGAAGCTAGGGCATTTGAGAGCATGCACTGTTAGAGAACATGCCCACCTACTGTGCCCACAAGTACACACACACATACACACACACACACACAAAAGCTGGTCTGGGTCCCCAGAATGCCCTTCAGAAAGTCATGCTCTGATAAACCAAATATTGGAAAAGGTTATTTTCCTAGACTTTTCTGCTCACATCTAGATAAGAAATGGGAGGTTTCTAAATAAAGTAATATATACGTAAGTGCATACCTGAAGACAGATCTTACCTAAGCCCCTCTTAAGTTTTCTCTTGAAGGTGGTGCTTTGTCACCAAATGGCCAAAATAATCTGGACTCTGATCAAATACACAACTGTAACTCAGTAGGCCTAACCAAGTACAAGGAATGTGCTTGAATCAATCTCACAACTTGGTAACTTAGGCTTCTTGGTATGAAGCCCCAGAAACTTAAGCTAAGTTAAACTCAAACACCTCAATTCTCATGGAGAAAAGTGACAAAAACAGAAACTCACGCACACAAGATTGTGGGATACCATGGTTTCCCTAAACCCCCTTGCAATCCTCCCCTACATTGTCCATGCTCATATACCCACCATTTAATGATAAAAAGTGATTTGGCAGCTTAGATGACAGCGTAAACTTTGCCAACTAAGATTCAGAGCCTCTGAGACCAAGTTCACTGCCTGGTTAACCCCTAAAACCATAAAAGTGGGTTTTACCCTCAGGCTAAACGCTAGGTCTGATTGATTGACCAAATGTAATTTTATTCTTAAATTAGTGATATTGCTTTATTTTAAGCCATTTTGTGCAGTAGGTCTAAGAAAAAGAAAGGTCAACCACAGAATTAAAGTGAGATTGTTCCCTAAATGAAAAAAAGTAACACTTCTCAAATATCCAATTTTATTTTGTCATTGTTGCACTGTTGAACACAATCTGTAGTTAGCATCAGAATTCCCAGGTCAACAGATTTTTAGACCATCCCACAGGAGTAAACCTTAAAATAAGTGAAATCTAATACTATATAGATTTCCATTTCCAAATACAGTATATTACAGAAGGTTAAATATACCACCTCTGTTTACTTACAACTATAAAAAGATACATTAATCATACCAATTATAAATAAGGTAATATTTCATATTAAAGGCATTATTGTACAATTAAAGAATAAGAACCCTCTAATGGTTTACTATTGAGATTAGCTTTATAGGGCTTAAGATAAAATCCTGAAAATTCAGTGTATGAAGCCAAATCCTGACTTAACAAATTACCAATAGTATAAGTGACAAGTGTTAACTGATGTAGAGAACAAAGTGAATTGCGCCTTGCATATTTCTGAAAAGAATGATAACCTCATTTCATAGATGACTTTCCTTATACATACACTGATTTTGTCCTAGACCTTCATTTGATTATTGCCCTCCCCAATTTAATTCTCAAACATAAGCACCATTAGAAAAGTACTACTTAGTAAAAGAATCCAATAACACAGGCAAGTTTGATTTTGTGTTTTTAAAGCTGCATGGGAACACCTTCAGTTTTCCAAAGTTGAAACTTGGAATTGCACGTCATCTGCATTCACTGAGGGGAAAAGAACAATTCACAACCTATTAGTGCAGTACTCAGACCACTTCGTGGGAGACTCAGCTCCTCCATGGAGTCCAGGTGTTATTTGTCAATCAACCATCTATTAATATCAAAATAGGACTTTAAAAAACCAGGGCTGTTTTATAACAGCAGTCTTTCCCAGTTGTGTGTGTTTTACTAATCTATAATGGCTAACCAAACTGAAGAAAGAAAAGCAACAGGCTTATCATAAACCATTAATGCAAATAATAGAAATGCATAATTTGTAAAATGCAGGATTAATGATCTAAGATTTGCTGTGCTATTGTAGTGTCAGAGTCTGCATCCTTAGCAGTGATGGTGACACTAGCAATGTTTTCTGCCTAAGAAAGTACCTTGGTTAAGACAGATGATGACATAGTTCTAGATAAACTCTTTGGGCTGTTGACTCAGTCATATTCCAAAGAAAGTATTAGTTTTAAGCAGACTCCCACAGTCAAGGTCAAGATGCAGCACTTGAAGACCCATGTCCATTCGCACCCAAGGCTTTGCACCAAGGACCATTCTGGGTACTTGCTTCCCCAAAGCTCCCCACATTGGAGCCTTAAAATCCTTTTGCTTGCTTGCTTTTTTTTTTCAGGGCCGTGTTTGCAGAATATGGAGGGAGTTTTTTCCAAGTTCTAACTGGAGTCGGAGTCAGCAACACATTTTTAAGTGATTGGCTACTCTAACCACCACTTCCTCTTGGCAATACTCTGAGCCTCTTCACTGTCCCCTGGGACCTGGACAAAGGGGAAAACAGAAATAGCTAGTGGTTCCATCCCCAGACAGGGCTGCAATTTTACATCCAACATATTGGTGAATGGAACAGGAGTGTGAGAGGAAAAGAGAGATGGTTCGAATCCAGTAGATTTAAAGTCTCCAGAAGAAAACATCCCAGGAAGGTCAGAAATGTAGTTTTTTTCTTCGGCAAATTTAATCTGCCACATTCAGCTGTCAGATCTTCAAAGGAGGAGCTCACCTTTCCCTCAGGGATTCCGGTCATCGAGTTTGATGGTGACGGTCTTCACTTCCGTGTACTCTGCCAGCGCATATTCACCTCTGTGATCACAGGAAGAGGAAAATACAAGGTGGGCATGTCACTTAGCCATTCCGTGGGAACTGTGTTCCCATGCCTGGCTGGCCATCACTCCACCAGGCAGTTTGGAGCCCATGAGTCATGTCAAAATGTGAAGACTTAATAGAGTAATGCACGGAACTATAGCACCATTAGTAAGTATACATAACTGGATATGTAACTTAAGTCTCAATATTGAGGGGTTTTTTTGTGTGTGATACTCTTGAATGATTCAGAAGGCTAAGTTTGCCTTTGAAGAATGAAGGAAATACAAAAAAGAAGGGAACCCATTGCAGGGGGCAGGGTAGGTATCAAGCAAGGAGAAAGGGTGTTGTATGGGTTAAGGAGTAGGGCACGGGGGGTCAGACAGTACACTGGGTTTAGAACTTTCAGCTGGCAATTTGGAGCCTCTCAAAGAGACAGAAGAGGCAGAGGCCCAAAGCTGTTGGCTGGGGATGTGGCCAGAGGACCCACGAGGGACAGGGACATGGAGCACACAGCTGGGGACCCACCGTAACAAGAATGGCCAGCCTAGCACAGCAAGGGGAGCAGACGTTAGCAGACTGGACCAAAGGGGGGCTGCAGACTTTGAGTTAGCGTCTTTGGTATCTGTCCTTTCTGTAAGTCTTTCAGAGCACAGGTAACGCCTCTCGGGCACCAAAGGCCATCCTCAGGGAGGCTCCCCTCAGAATCAAGAGGCAGCTTTGGGTGGATTTAATGCCTCCACAACTCTTGTTCTGCTTTTAAGTAAATAAAAATGTGTACTTGTTTAAGAAAAGATGTAGAAGTCTAGGGGCCACTGGAGGCTCTGTAGCTAGAAAGGCTTAACATAGAATCTCAACCCATCCCTTAGATCAATGGGTCTCAAAGTGTGTTCCCCAGCAGTGGCCTCACCTCAGAACTTGCTTGAAATGCAGATTCTCAGGCCCCCTAAGATCTACTGTGTTACGCAGAAAAATGCCATTTCCAAGGTGCCCATGTTCTGATGCTCCAAACTTGTGAGTATGTTAGATTACATGGCAAAGGGGAGTTAAGGTTGCAGATGGAATTAAAGTTGTTAGTTAACTGACCTTCACATAGGGAGATTACCCTGGATTATCTGGGTAGGCCCACTGTAATCACAAGGATCCTTAAAAGATAAAGAGGGAAGCAGGAGAGGAGAGTCAGAGGCCAAAGAGGCTTCAGAAGCAGGTTCAGATAGATGCAATGTTGCTGGCTATGAAGATGGAGAGGGGGCCACCACCTAAGGAATGTGGAACTCTCTAGAAGCTGGAAAATGCAAGGAAACATATTCTCTCTCTTGAGTTTCCAGAAAGGCATGTAGCCCTGCAGACACTTTGATTTTAACCCAGTGAGACTATGTCAGATTTTTACCCAATAGAACTGTAAGATAATACATTTATTTTGTTTAAGGGCTGCTTTTGTGGTGACTTATTGTAGCAGCAGTAGAAAGTGAAAACACCTATTGGATCTGGGTATGGGGCCCAGAAATCTGTTTTTTAACAATATTAACAAGCCACAAGATGGTGATGCACCACAAGTTGGAGAAGCACTGGCTTAGACTATGTAGCTAAGGCAAGTTCTTTACTTTCCCTGAGCCTCAATGTCATCATCTGTGAAATGGGAATACCACTACCCCCTTGTAGTTATAATGATAAGAGATAATTCATATAGAGCACCTACTATGTGTGAGGTAAAAAGAGAATGGCCAAAAATAATATTATTGTATTTTTAATATGTCATTGAGATTTTTTGGTAGCTGCTTAAAACAAATAGTTCAAGAACATGTAATAATGGGTGCATTGTTTTGCAATCTTTTCTAAACATAACAAAACATAAAAGCTATACACACAGTGCTAAGTCCAACTTTTGTAGTTTGTCAACTCCATTAAAAAAAAACAGACATGACAAACTAGAAAAAAATTACATTTACCACCCTATGTGAGAAACAGAATGCTATTTTCCTTAATATACAAAGAGTTCTTACAAACCAATAAAAAAACCCACAACCAACCAAATGGAAAAATCAACAAAGGACATGAATAGGCAGTTTGCAGACAAAGAATTACAGATTAGCAATAAGTGTGAAAAATGGCCTCAGCCTCCTCACAATGAAAAAAAATGCAAACCAAAAGAATGGGGTGTCTATTTTTCATGTGGCTGATTACCCATTTTAGGAATTTATTCTGAAAACAATCTCCCACAATTGCAGATTGTTTTTGCAAAATTTTTGCACACGGAAGAATATTAGCATGGTTCCTAATAGCAAAAACCCTTGGAAATAGCGCAAAATGTCATCACAGGAGACTGTCAATAAAAAGAACCCATTTTCAAGAGAAAAAGGAGTTTGCTCCAAATTCATTTGAAAACAGGAAGAATGCACATATATACATCCACTTTATGCATAGAAAATACACAATAAACTTCAAAAGTGTGATGATGTTGGACTGTAAAAATTCAAAGTAGTTAATAATTTATCAACTTAGTAAAGGAAAGCAAACCAAGTGGTGAAGTCATGTTGAGTTAGCACATTAATCAACCCAATATTAAGTCATCCCTGTGAGATTAAGTACGCGAATCAACTCATTCTTTCTATTCTTGCAGTCACTGCCTAAATTCAAATTCTTGCAGCTCTTCTTTGTCCACTCTTAGTGGTGGCTCCTAACTGGTTCCTTGCCCAGTCACAACCATGGTACCCAAGGCCATCCAGGATCACAGCCCCTTCTCCCATCAGACCTCAGCAGAACGCTGGAATGGGAGAGTCTGGTGGCAATGTTGTTCACTGCTCACAGTCTAGCATGTGCCTGGCACATCAAAGGTGCTCAATAAATATTTGCCAAGTGAACAAATGAACAAAATGAAAGACTTCACAGTGGTTACCGCTAACAAATGGGAATGGGAGTCAGGGGAGGGCAGACTTGACGTTCCATGTCTCTACTGTGTGGATTTTTTTTGTTACTGTACTACTTTTATTGCAAAACAAAACAAAGAACTAAGAAAAGCATGCAAGAGGAAGAGAAATTGCAGGCTTCATCCAAAGACCTGTAGAGATCCCGGAGGGGCCTGTGGGTGGGCTGCAGAGAGCCAGCCCAGCCCAGGCAGCTGGAGATGGGGAAAACCGTGGAATCCACCGCACAGTGCTCCAGCACAGAAAAGGGGAACTTACTGCAACACAAAGACATTAATTAGAGGCAACTGGAAATGGAAACTGGTTTCCCCGTCAGTTTCCAGGCTCCTTGTGAATTATATTCAAGTACTTTATCAAATCCTCGGGAAAATAGATGCCAAGGGTCAAAAAAACAGACATTAAAAAAAGTCCCGATTGTGGCTAACTGGCAGGAAAAACATGGAGTGTTCTGCAAATACTCATCTGGCCCTGCTCTGTGCCAGGCGGGGTGGTAGTAAGGAGTTGAAAGCATTGTCAGCGTGGTGGGAAGGGAGACGGAGGTGATGGAGGGAGGACAGCTGTAAACAAATAGTGTGTGTCCACACGTTAGAAGTCAGGTGGGTCTCACACACTCTCCCACGGCTTTTACAACCAAGGACATCTGCTCTGGGGACTGAAGTTCTTGCTGCAGAAGGAAGCTGTGCCTGGCCTCTGGGAGGAGGGCTGAGCAGGCTTCTTGGTCCCCCAGCTGTCACAGCCTGGCTGGTGGAAGGTGGGGGATCAGAGGAGACAAATGACCCCATGTGCCCTGGATGGCTTCAACCCAGCAGCTTACAGAGGTGACCTCTGTTGATAGGCCCTGTGGGGCGGTGGCTCTGAGGGTTCAATCCTAACCCTGTCACTTCCTGGCAGTGTGACCCGAGGATGCACGGAGCCTCCCTGGGCATCCCAGGATTTCCTCATCTGAAAACCAGAGTGGTGGCAGCGCCCAGGTGCAATGGACTGAAGGTCTTCATCCCCCTGAAACTCACAGGCTAGAGCCTGAACCCCCATGGTGAAGGTATCAGGAGGTGGGGTCCTTGGGAGGTGATAAGGTCAGGAGCCCTCATGAATGCCGTTCGCGTCCTTATGACGGCGACCCCAGAGAGCTCCCTCACCCCTTCCACCATGTGAGGACACGGCAAGAGGCGGGCACTCATGGGACCCTGAATCTGCCAGCACCTCCATCTCCAACTTCCAGCCTCCACAACTGCAGAAAATAACTGTGTTATTTAGCCCCCCCACCACCCCCATCTATGACAGTCTGTCACAGCAGCCTGAGTGGACGAAGATGCCATCTCATGGACTGTGGTGAGCATGGCATGAAGTAACATACGTAGAGAGCTCTGACAGAGCCTGGCCGAATCTGTGTTTGGCAAATGCCAGTTGTCCCCAGCACTGCTACCATGACCTCAGCCCAGTCCTCGTGTCTGCTGCTGGCAGATGTGTGTGAAGAGGTAATAAAGCAGAAGGTCACAGAACGCAACACAGACAAGCTGCTTGGGAGACAAAACAGTTTCTACAAAGGGTCTTCATGGCCAAGAATGTACTGAGGTACCCGGAAGGGGATACCAGTCATAGGAATTAGGGGGACACCAATGGACACACTCTACTCAGATGTTCAGACAGCTCTGGGGTATTTGCCATGAGCCAGGGATGGGCTAGAAAGAAGGGACCAATTCCATGGAGGCTGGTCAAGAGCTTTTGCTCAGGGATGAAAGCTGGCCTCATTCCTTAAAGCATCTTTATTAAGAATTTGGAAGGGGTGCTGCCCAGGGGCCCCACTAAGGCCCCAGCCAAGTGGAAGCATTTGAGTACACCCTCTGGAAGATGCACAAGCTAGTACAAGGTAATGAATTTGTATATAAATAACACAGACTGTTCAATAAATGGGAGAGCTTGGAGCCCTTTGCGATGTCCCAGGAGCCACCCAGTGTGCTGTCACACATGGTGCCCCTGGGAAGATTGATTCTACAATCTGTTCTCCACAAAGGCTAATAAAACCCCAAGCACCACTGAGAAGGATGGAGGAGAGACGGCACCATCCAGCTGGAAACCACAGCACGTCCATCCCCGGAACACGCCGCCCAGCTCTGGGCCTGGGCCTGTCATCTTGGGCCAGACACAAGAAGGCCTGTCCATTTTTTGTGCCTATGGAGCCCATCTTCCCAAAGGGCAAGACAGAAAGGAGCCAAGAAGGAACACATGGTGGGTTTGATGGAGCCATGGGGGCCCAGCAGATGTAGCGGCATGCCTCCCAAAGAGGCACAGAGGAGCCAGAGGCGCCCATGGTCTGTCCCTGGGCCTCTGCTAGCGGGGAAGACAAGGCCAGTGCCTGACCTGGGAGAGGGCCCATCTTCCTTGCTGGGTACTGGGGGAGGAGGAGTCGTTATAGCCTATGTCTGGCAGGAAGTACACTTCTCTGGCCCCGCCCTGTCCTCAGCCAGCCAGCCAGGTCAGATATCCACCGAATGTGTCCATGTGTGATGGGCGCTGGGGAGGACATATAAGCTAAGGCTAGAGATTGGTCGTGGGGCTGGAAAGGGTTCAGCATGAGGATGAGTGTGGGGAAGGACAGAAGTGGGAAGGCAGAAGGGGAGAGAGGGTGGGAGGGATCCACACCAGCCCTGGAAGGAGGGCAGCAGCAGCCCTCCTGACCGGGCTGACCCAGGCTGATGCATCAGCGTGCATGGACTCTCCATGGCCTGGAGCACGTGCCACCACCCTGAGAACCCAATGTATCTTTTATTCACCCCACCACAGGCGTGGAGCAACAGAAACACTTACAGTTCTCTGCCATTTCCTGACATTTTAAAGCCACCAAATGGAGCCTGTGCGTAGATGGCATTGTAGCAGTTGATCCTAGAGGGGGAATAAAAAGATGCCAGTGATTACCCAGAGAAGACCCAGCTGGCTCTGTGACTATCAAGTGCTTGATGCAGAGGGTGGCCTAAGAGTGACTTTCTGTCCAAGTTGCAGTAATGAAAACAGTACCTCCATTCTTCCCACCAGAAACTAAAATTTGAATATTCTTAAGTATAAAGCTTTTCACTGGGATAGGAAGGGAATGACTAAGGAAGGAGAAAGGACAGGAAAATGGTGGTACTGGGAGATATGAATAAGCTTTGAAATGAGACTGAGCCAGCTTCAAAGTTCTCCTGCATCTCTATAGGATTCTGAAATTAATACTCCACCTCTCTGAGTCCCAGTTCATCTCTATCATCTTAAAAATGAGGATAATGTATCCTACAAAAGTAGTGGTAGAAGAGGATCTTTTGTCCATACGTTGCCCAAGTGCACGTGTTGTTTTTAGAATCAGAATTTTTTTAAAAAGCCAGAGACACTGAAATGTGAGGGTGGTTAGACAACACAGGGGTCAGGTGTGTGGGCATCACAGCTGGCTGGTCGGCTCTGAGCTCTGCGCTACCACGTACTAGCTGTGTGACCCAGGTCATTAAGTCTCTCTGTAAAACGGAGGCAGTAACAGCACCTATCTCAGAAGGTGTTCATGAGGATTGAGGAAAGCACTTTGTGTTGGGCACATAACATACAACTAGAAGCTCTCTGTTAATATAAGAATGAAATTAGCAAGTGCAAAACACATGCTTCCTCCACTCACCAGACAGTCCCAGACTCTAGCGCAGACGCCAGCTTCAGCGCTTTATCGAGGTTTTTTGTAAACACAGCTGCTGTGAGTCCATATTCAAGGCTATTTGCTCTTTTGATCACTTCTTCAATATTTTTGAACTTCAGTATTGGCTGCACCGGTCCAAAAATCTGTGATCAATTGCAAGAATGGCAGTGAGAAGCGCATTCGAAGGAAACATGTCTGCTCTGAGCAGGCTTTCCTTTGTTCTGTGCTGTTTTCATAAACCCAAAGTGCTCACATGCATGCAAAACAATGACCGGTGAAGAAAGAATGTCCAAAGATCTTTTTAGAGGCTTGATGGTTGAAATCTGAGGGGAAAGATTAAAATGAAACATATAAAAAATAACCAGAATTAGATGTCTGGTTTAAGATCCCTTGCTTGTCACCGGGGATTCTGAGAAGCACAAGCCCTGGGGCTTTGGCACAGCCTTTAAATGCTGGGATGCACAAGACAAAAACCTTGGAACTTTTTTTTGGAAAGTAACTGCAAAGGGTGTTTACTGTAGGCACTGTACCCCAAGATCTTGGTGATGCCTTTTCCATTGATGAAGATACCCTAAAATATTTTCCTCATAACTCCAGGGGAGGGAATGGGGCTATGACACAGCAAAGAAAAGGAGAGAGTGAAGGGCTGAACAGTCAAAGGAAATTTGGAAAAGGAGCTTGTAATTGATTCAATGTTCGGCAAGTGACAGTGCCAACCTGCTGAAATATTTTCCCAGGTTCCCAAGGGACTGTGGTCATAGGAAACTTTAAAGAGCTGAGTCTCATGCTATCATGGTACAGTTATTCACCCATAAAAAACTCAAAGAAAATGTCTATAAAATACCCACACAGGAAACCCTTGGCAGTGATTCACTCTTGCTTTTAAAAGTCCTGAAAGGCCACATCCTAGGGTCCAACCACCCAGGACCCGAATGGGAACTAGCTTCCATCTAGCTTAATAGTGGGACTAGAAGATGAAGTTTGAATTACACTCTTATGGAAGGTCCTTCATTTCCATCATTTCCAAGGATGCCTATGAAGGAAACCTTAGGAATGAATTCTAGCCATGGCACGCTCTTGGAGTGAACTTGTTTGTGTCCAGTCTGGGAGACTGAAGGCAGTGTGAGGAGGCTCTATCCATAGGCGGTAACAGCCCTCCACCCAGAGGACGGGTTGGAAGGCAGAAGAGGGATTGTCACTGTGCAGTGACAATGAGAGATGAGAGGAAATGGGGGATTAGGACCAACTCTGCCCCCTCTATACAGTGCTCAGGGTACCCAGAGGTGGGGAGGCAAGACAGCTTCCAAAAGGACCCCACAGGAGAGGGTAAAGGTCACAGGAAAGAGGAAAAAATTTCCCTCCTGAAGACTTCCGGGATCCGTGGGCCTGAGAGAAGACTCCCCAGGGGCTCAGCCCCTGCACCTGGCTCGAGGCCCCATGGGACGTCGCTGTGCCTGCAGCCCCTGGTACCTCCTCCTTGGCGATCCGCATGGTGTCAGTGACTTCAGAGAAGACAGTGGGCTTGATAAAGAGCCCCCTGTCTTCCAGAGCCGAGCCTCCACATTCCAGCCTGGCTCCCTCCTTCTTCCCGCTCTCAATCAGGTCGAGGATTTTGTTGAACTGCTTTTGGTCAATCTGTAAAACACAAGATGCACAGCCTGGCTTTCTTCCGGAGGCTGACTGCCATCTTCTGGGTCCAATAGCCTTCAACACAATCAGCTGTCCATCCTTAGATGTTCTCACTAAGTCGTCATTCAGGGAACAGATGTGCCTTGTATGCAAATATTCCTCAGATGTACAAATCTAGGCTCTTTGGAGCAGGGGAGAGATGGGGAGACAGGCCCTTCTCATCTTCTTTGGGTGTGGAGTTTATTCATAGTCCGACCCCTTCGTGCTGCTAAGCAAACCCATGGGTGAAACAAGATCTGAAGTGGTCACTCTTTTTGCTCTCTCAACTCTTTGCACCCTGTTAGGGTTGCCAGATTTAGCAAATAAAACTATAGGATGCCCAATTAAATCTGAATTCCTGAAAAACAACAAATGATTTTTTTGGTGCAAGCATAGCCCAAACAATATTTGGGATATACTTATGCTAAAAATGTATTTGTTGTTTATTTGAATTTCAGATCTAACTGGGTGCCATGTGTTTTATCTGGTAACACTGCCCCCTGCTCACAGGGTGCCAGTTACTGGAATTCTCCATCCATGGTGCAGAGGAGATATGAGAAGGAAAGCTGACCATCTTCGTCAGAACCCCTGAAAACAAAGCAGAATGAGCCTTAGCTGGGGTGGAAAGGCTGCTCCTTGGTTGGTGGGCAGCCAACTCATTGGAGGGCTCCACCTTCTGCCACCCTGCCCGGGGTCTCCCGGGCTGGAGTGAACCATGTACCACCAGCCTAACACCCGACCTGCGGACATGATACCCAACCAGCCATCAAAGCGCACCTCTTTGGGACACTGTGTTCAAGAGGGTAAGTGCTCCCAGACCCCCCACAGTGGCCCTTCTTCTTGAATCTGTGAGCCCCTGTTCTTGACCTTGACCCCGTTGCTAGTCTTCTCCTCTTTGACTGGCAGAGAAAGAGCTTTGATGGGTTTGCTGCAGCTGAATTTTTTAAATAGAAAAACTGGTTTCATCTAAAGAACTTTAAGTTAAAAAATAAGTAAACCGATGGTGCATTTGGATGACTGTCTGTCTCTGAAGAGCAGGCTGGTTTCCCAGAAGGGGTGGGCACAAACCATGCATATCACCTAGCAAATCAGTTCATGAAGTGTGGGTCCAGTGTTAACATATCAAGATGGAGCCACACCTCATACCTCATCCCAGGATAAATTCCCAGTAGATCAAAGGCTTAACCATGAAAAAATGAAAGCATAAAAGTTTTCAAATTGTCTCCTGTGGGAGAATGCCTCTGTGAGCTTGGAGTGCTAATGGGCTTTCTATGACTTGACATCCAGAAGACAAAAAGAAAAGATTGGTAAATTTGAGTATGTAAAAAATAAAAATAAAAACAGACAAAAACCATCATAAGCAAAGTCAAAGGGCAGAGCAACAGGCTGGGAAAAAATTGACAAGTCATATCATAGAAATAGAGCTAATTTCTCTAGTATGTGGAGTTCTTGGAAGTGATAAGAAAAATGACCAGCCAAACAAGAGAAAAATATGCAAAGCACATTCACACTTACTAGAAAAGGAAATGCAAATGGCTTTTAAACATATGACAAGACATTCTACCTTATTAATTATTAGAGATATATTTGTATTAAAGTCAAATGAGATTCCATTTTAAACTATTAAATGGGAAAACAAAATCCATATTCTGTTAGTAAGCCTCGAGGAATAGACAAGCTCATACAAGGGTGGTAGGAACATTAGTTGGTTTCTCCTCTTGGGAGGTAATTTAACAATGCTTGTAGAAATTACATTGTGCTCCCACTCAGCAATCCCACTTGGGGAATTTGTCCCGGGGATTTCCTTGTGTGTGTGCAAAATAACATACTCTGTGGCATTGTGCATGACTGCACACACCCACAGGATGAACATATTCAAACATATTATTTGAATTCTGGTGGATTCATACAGCAGAATTCTATGTACACATGACAGAGAACAAGGAAATTTCCCATGGACTGGCAAGGAAAGCTCTTCGAGTTTCTTATTAGGAGACAAACACCAAGGTACAAAACATTATAGATGCCAGTTATCTTTTGGGTATAAACAGGGGAAATCAGAATACATATTCATATCTGTTTATATGCACATAAAGAAATTCTAGAGGGATATACAAAAAACTAAGCACATGGAATGCCCATGGAAGGATGGGTGAGAACCAGGCCTATGAATGGAGTGGTGGGGATGGAATGGGGCCTTTTCACTAAGGACCTTTATAAGTGCTTTGGGTTGGATGCATGCGTGTGTACTTGCACCTGAAACAGTAATTCAGACAGCTGCAACAGATCTAGTAATATCTTAAAAATTCTCCCAAGTCTTGGGTTACAAGTTCCAGAATTGCCCTCTGCTCCTCCTCGGAGGCCAGGAGGGCTTGCGAGGCTTCAACACACTGCAGGTCTGAGTGATGCTGACTGTGTTCTGCCAGTCAGACCAGGCTGCCTGCCCATCTGCCCTTCAAGCTGTGCGGGGTCCCAGTGGAAACCCTATACATGCAGGTCCAGCTCTCCCTGGCCAGTCCGTGTGAACACATTGCTTAAATCTACTAATCCACCCTGAAACGTCAGCTGGTGCCTTACAGCGTAGGAAGCAGAAACTTCTGGAAGTGAAGAAGGTGGCAGGGTACACACAGAGAGAGAAATACAGCCCTCAGTGGACCAATTGAAGGCTGTGTTTGGCTCTTCTGGACAGAACCCCAGGTCCTGCCCCCACCAGGTGGCCTGCATGATGTTTACATGCCTGGTTGCTCAGTGGTCAAATAAACCTGAAAGATTTTGGAACATTCTGGCCAATGGCTGCCTGCAGTGGACACCGATCTAGGTCAGCAAGCTGTTTTACAGGCATGAGACAGACAGGACTATTTAGACAGCTGTGAATCCTCTCAGAGTAAAATCCTTTACCAAGAAGAAAAAGCACTTTGGGAGAAAAAAAATCCAACAGTGTCCTAAAATAATATGCTGAGGTTAGATGGCTTAAGTGGGCTTTCAAAAGGACTTTGAGGAGCAACTTCAAAAGCACCAATGAAATCAACACCCATTCTTGGATCTGCTCTCTTGGAAGAGATTTCTCTGTCTGGCTTCAAAAGTCAAGCCTGGAGTCTGCTTTGGTTATGTAACTGTACTCCTATTATGTTAATGTGTGTGTGCAATTTAATTAGTAGTTTAAAACCTATACATGCTGAAGTTACTCTACAAGAAGATATGTCAAAGAAATAATCAATCTTCCCATGTTTTCTTCCGCCTGCTACTTCTATAGCTTTTCTTCTTCCTTCCTAATTACAACCCTTAAATAGAATTCGTGCCACATATCGAATTTACCGAGTATCATAATTCTTCCAAGTGGTAAAGACACCTCAAGACAAATGCTGGGCATAGAAGCCACAGGGCATAAAATATGCAAAGAAGTAAAAAGCTAACCTTTTCAAATAATAAGGCTTCTCTCTCACTTACCAACTTAACATTTCCCTGTATGGCCCCTGAAGATGACTGGTTAGCCAGGGACAGGTAAGATTCCTCAAGGGAGGAACAACCTAAGACAGGCACAGTTGCAGGGGGGCCATCAGGTGAGAAAATGGGGATCAACAGAGGTGAGGCTTAGAACCCCCCTCTCCCCCCGTTCTGAGAGAAATCTTCTGCATCCGTGGATGTTTTATTGCCCTTGTCTAGCTTGGATTAACACATAGTCTACAGGCACACACCTGATCATCTACATTTGCTCTCTTACAACACTAAACTATGTTTTCTACCTTTATCTTGTATCTACCTACCACTTCAGCATTTTATTAAAAATAATAATAATAAAGAGAGAAATGTGGTATCCACATATAAATCAAGTATAAAAATCAAATGAATATTCATATTTGAATTGTTTATAGTTCATAATGCATGAGCAAAACTGAAAGCCTCTGTGATGGCTGCCCTTATAATGTTCACCATGTAACTTATTCACTATGTAAGAATTTGTACTACATGTAAGAACTTGTTCGTTATGCTTCAGAAGATTGGAGACTGACAAAAATTAGGCTTGGGGTGGATTAAGGATTGTGCATTGAGCATTGACCCCCCTATACAGAATTTTATTGTTGTTAACAACCATTTGATCAATAAATATGAGAGATGCCTTCACAAAAAAAAATATACATATACACACACACACACTTTCAGTTGTAAAATAAATAACCGGGATGTAATGTATAGCATAAGGAATATAGTCAAAATATTGTAACAACTTGGTATGGTGATGGCTGGTACCTAGAATTATCATGTATATAAATGTTCAATCACTGTGTTGTACACCTGAAACTAATGTAATACTGTGTGTCAACTATCCTTCAATAAAAATAATTATCTAAAAAAAAAATAAATAAAATAAAATAAAAGAGAAATACAAATGGTTAAAAAAAAAGTCAAGCCTGGAGCTTTGGAAATGGACTTACAAAAAACGATGGGGTAAAGGGGCTCCTTAGTCTGGGATCGGCTCACATATTTCCCACGGATTCTGGATTGCCTGTACAATCACAGTGGATTCGAAAATGCCTTGTGGTCATGCTTCAATCCATACCTGAAATCCAGCCAAGCCCACTAGAAAACTCTGTGTCACTGGCCACTGGGTTTGGAGCTGAGGTTTGGCAGAATAGTGAGTATTGGCCATAAGTGGAGATGCTTTTCTGCACCAGGGTCATGTGACATTAGCCTGCAGAGCCTGTGGGCTGGAGTAAGGTGAGGGTGGGCACAGGGGCCAGAAGCACACCTTCTCCACATGGTCCTCCTCCTTTCCCAGCCAGGGTGCCCCACTGGATGGTAAAGCAAGACTTGATTGACACAGCCTGAAGCCACCTAGGTCAGGGAGTATGTCACTGAATGCTCCCCGCTTTAAAAAATAAGAACTTATTCAGTGCCTTGAAATGTTCATACTATTCTTCAATTATTCGCATTTTCCCAATGAGGAAACAGAGGTTTGGAAGGAGTGGAGACTTTCACAAAGTCACAGAGACAAATCTGCTCTGATCCAAGGCTTTTCATGCAAACACACAGCGCTGATAAAGCGCAAGCTCTTAGGAAGAATGCCAATGGGGCAGTCCTGACATGTGATTTGAAACTTCATGGCTAGGGCAGCATTTGGGCTACAAGCAAAGTGGGTTGCTGTCAAGTCCCATTTCAATAATGCATGGGATGGTCAGGCTGCCCTCTTTTAAATACTTATCCATCTACTACACTGCATAATTAGTAAGAATGTGATCCAGAATGTGCCCTTTTAAAGAGGTTTATTAAACCTTGTGGTTATGATCATTTTCATCCTGTCATTAGTTTCAAAAGCCAGGCCTCCCAAGACAGGTTCCTACTGCTTGGAGATGCATCCCCGTGCCCCAAGCCCTCTCTGCTGGGATTCTTTGGTTACTGATGATCACTTTGTCCTACAACGCACATGGGCTCCAAGTACTACTGCCCCCCCTTGTAGTCTGCTACCTTTTGGTCAGGATTATAACCTCTCTTCTGCAGGGAGACCAGATAGGTAAGACAGCCTCTGCCTGAGGCTCTCTCCTGGGAACTTGCGTGGCTCAGAGAGGGGATGGTCCTCTGGCTGGAGATTGCAGGCACATGGCCTTATGAACTGGGACTGCCTCCTTCCTGCTGGGCCCCCAAGCTAGGAATTCTGGGCTGCAAAGAGCAAAGCCTCTGTGTGTACACCCTCATTTCATAACCCCACTGAGAGAGGATGGGGTGATACTGTTGATCAAACAAAAAGCCTCAAGTGGCAGGGCAAGTCAGCTTCCCTTCTGCTTTGGGAGGGACCCTGGAATCACAGAGCACCAGAGCTGGTTTGGCCCCCAGATGCTCCTTCTGGGGTCTGAGCCATCAGCAGGTTACCTGGGGCCCCTGTTCAGTCCTGGCGTCAAAGGGGTCTCCGATGGGCCGCTTCTGGGCGTACTCCACGCTCCGCCTGACAAACTCGGTGTAGACTGGCTCCTCCACGAACACCCTGGAGGCAGCCGTGCAACACTGGCCTTGATTGAAGAAAACTCCCTGATGGGCGCACTCCACTGCCAAGTCCACTGGAGGGAGGGGGGCGGCAAGGAGGTGGTTAAGTCATTTGGGCAGGACTGGCAACAGCTGCACCCGAGGCCCATGCCAGAAAACAGGCCCCGTATGGCTGCATTTCAGAAATTAATTTTGTTCCCAGCATTTTCCAAACAGAGAGGATGAGAAAAAGAATTTTGGATCCTCTGAGTTTGTGGTTACACAGGTCCCCTGACTACAGAACTTCTCAGCATCTTTAATATGCTGATAAGCACAGAGAATTGTAGTATTCCCCATTTCACCTGCCTGTGGAACCCTCCCCTCCCCGTTTCTGGAAGACTGATTAATCTTCTACAGAATAACCTTTGGTAAATATTGATGTAGGCCAATTGGCGAGAACTTTTAAAGGAGAACACGTTTTTTACTCTGTGCATGAGAAGGGTCTTACTAAGTACCGGTACAGATGGGGCCCCTGGCTATGGTGGCACAAGTGTGCAGAACAAGGAGTGTAAAACAGGGAACCCAAATGTGTCAACACACAGAACGGCCCCATGTGGCTCCTGAAATAACATGACACCATGTATGACTTGTAAGGGTTAAAATAAAAGGCACTGATTCCGCCTGATGAGTGCTGAATCTGAATCGTAGAGCTGGCACTGAATTGAAACCAGTTACTAAAGTGAGCTAGAAGGGTGCTTGGTAAGATCTTTGGGGACACACTTAATGGGTAAGGATGCTCAGTGGGATGTCATCTGCATTCGCCAAGGGGCTCGTAGCGCTCCACTGTTGGCGGTTTCTTCAGCATCTCTCTCCCCAGCCCCTCAACACACTGCTGCTTAGGGAAGCGGCTTTTTTCTGCATAGAGCAAATAAGGGCCTGCTGGGTGCAAGCAGCCGATCCACTGACACCCCACATGGCCCTTGGGGCAGCTCTGAGGAACGCTGCCCTTGGCTTTGAGAACCAGGGTCTTGCTCTCCGGCAGGGTCTTCTGTGGAAGTATCCTGTGGCATCAGGATAGCATTATAAGGTTCTCGTTCCTCCTGCAGCCCTACCCTGTCTGTGCCACTTACAACTGCCCCTCGTCCAAAGTAACTAATTCATTTCCTGCACCCTGATGGGAGCTGGGGTGGAGGCTGCAGTGGCGGGGAATAGTGGCCTGTTAGCACTGATATCATGCCTGGGGTGCCAGTTATGTCAAGATTCAATTTGTGGACTGGCTCTGCCCAGAGGAGGAGTAGGAGATGGGTACATAGGGTGTTTATGACCCTTGACAAGCCAACACTCAGACCGAAGGAGGCTTGTGTGTTAGCCACAGTATTCTTCCCTGGGAGAAAAAAGGGTGAGCCGAGGTACAGATGGGGCCCCTGGCTATGGTGGCACAAGCGTGCAGAACAAGGAGTGTAAAACAAGGAACCCAAATGTGTCAACACACAGAACGGCCCCATGTGGCTCCTGAAATGAGCAACATTAATGATGCTTCCACAAGGGAGTACCAACCCATGCAATAACTGAGCAGGTCATCTTGATGACCAGCTCTCCTCCCCTTTTTGGAGCTTATTTTCTCACTGGGGCCTCTCCCAGTGAAGGGCAACTTTGAGGAGAGGAACTGATATCAGTCATTTACACTATAGTGAGAAATTGTGCTAGGGTCATTTTTCTAAGAGATACTTGCAATTCCAAACTTATTTGAGTGTGGAATGGAAGGCTTTGTTTTCCATGAAAGGGATTTCTGGCACCAGTGGGCAGGTGGAGGAGGCTGTTCTTGAGAGGTGCTTCAGGGCACTTGGGAAGTTACATCTTTTGACAGCTGACCGTGTCAGCAGATGAATGTATGGGTATGTGGCCCTCTCTTCCCTCTTCTGGACATGGCAGCCAAGAACAGCATATATTTTAATATCGTGTCATGGGTCTAGTGAGACACAAACTGCCCCCATGCTGCTGCGCAGGGCCGCTTTCCCAGGCCAGAGGTGATTGAGGGACAGTACCCAGACAAGGGGAATGTTTTTAAAGGTCGGCGGCCACTGTCCTATAGACTGTCAGGCCTGAGTCTAGGAAGGAGGAAACACCTCAAGGCTTCGGAGAGCCTGACAGCATGATAGGGAACCTGACTCGGGGGGCAATGACTCATGTCTGCAAGTGGGGGGCACCTGTGTGCTCCTCCTGCTCCTGGCCACCCCTGCAAGGGGGACTCGGGAGAAGAACCTGGAGCCGCTCCTCCTGGCCCCAGCTCTGCGGTGATGTGGAAGGTAAACTTAATCTTGAAGGGCAGAAACAGGCAGCCTCTCTGGCAACCACGTAAGACATCTTCCTCCAGTGCAGCCCTTGTTTCAGCAATAAAGCTGGCATTTCGATCCCACCTATGGCAGGGTGACGCAAGGCAGAAAAACATGCCCATTTTGTGTGTGTGCCTCTCTCAACTGGTTCTAAATTTGACAAGGAAGTGGGGAGAGAGTGACGGATGCCCTGAAGGCCCAGCAATGCCAGGAAGGGGGAGACTCACAGTCAGCATCTGCACACACAATACAGGGGTTTTTCCCCCCAAGCTCCAGGGTCACCCTCTTCAGGTTGCTCCGGGAAGCAGCTTCTTTAACCAGCTTTCCAACCTTCAGGATAAAAAAACAGACCAGATTAAGCCTTGGACATGGCTGGACATGGCCCGAACATCTGGACAAGCCCGGGAGGCTATGTGCAATAGGGGCCAGGTCCCTGCTTTCCTGCCTGGGCCCCCACAGCTGTGGTGCTGCAGTCTTACTGCCCTGGCCTCTCCCTGCATCTATCCACGGATCAGACTGCGACATCTCTGGAATCCTTGGCCCGAGCCGCTCTCACAGGGCTGTGCGGGAGCCTCTGGGAGGGCCGGTGGTTTGCCCATGGTCACACAGCTGGCCAGTGGTGGGGCCGCTACTCACGGTGCCTGTCGCCCCCGGCAGCACCTGGTCCAGCTAGTCTGGTAAGGGGCTGAGGGGACTGAGGGGCAGCTCTCTCCTCACTAGCAGGGAGGTGGTTCTGTCTGGCTTCTTGGTGGAACCTGACCCTCCAAGAATTAGGGAAATAGGGAAGCTGATCTGCAGGCTGACTTGGCTTAAGCCGGGTGTCACAAGCTCCGAGCTGAAAGTCTTTCGGGGGCAGAGCCAGACAGTGAGCAAGAGGCAGGGCTGGGCTCTTCCAGGGCTGAGTGTGTTTCCCCAAAACTAAGGTGGGGCGTGCATGTTAGACACCAGCCAGCTTGTGGGTGACGGGCCAGATGGAGTGTAGAAGAGATCCACAGTGACAATGACCATCCCCAAGGAGAGCAGCAAGCAAAACCAGCCTGCTGTAGGCTGGCGATGTCTTGGTGGGGTTGAGGTGAGCTTTCAGAGCAGGGGGCAGCAGGAGGGCCCAGGGCAGGAGAGCACTGCCCCTCGCTGTGACAGGGACACCTGCCAGTTGAGCAACCCCTGGGGCCACAGAGACCACTCTCCTGTCCAGGAGGTTGCGGGCCAAGTGGCTGCACCACCCCCTGGGGCCCGTGGGTGGCCAGATGGCCACCCTGAAAGCATTCAGGGCATCTCTGCAGAGAAGCCAGGCTGGCTCAGGAGAAGGGATGGCTTTGCTGTTGGGTGAGAAAACTGAGAAGACTTGGGAGCAGCTGGAGGCAGGAGCCACACCTTGCCCCCCACCTCCAGTCAGAGGCCACCCATGGAGCCGCGGCTGCTCCATTGGTGCTGAGGGCCACCGGCTTTGTAAAGACCACATGGGGCTCCCACACATTCTGACTCTGCAGCTCTAACAATGCTCACCCTGGCCAGCAAAGGAGGGCAACCACACAATGTCCAGCGGGCCACAGGAGGGGTCTCAGGCTCCTGGCTGGACTAGACTAGGAAGGAGATGGGTACCCTTCTGGAATGGGAGGTGTTTATTCATTTCTTTTTAAAGTACAGAAGTACTTTCTCATTAAAAATAATTCCACATACATGTGTGCTGGTAAAGGGGTGCAATTTTCATTTCTCCTTACCCCATGCCCCAGGACCTGCTGCAGGGGCGGCCACGGTAAGGACTTCTTGGGAATCCTTACAGACCATTTCTCTTTCTCTACACACACACTTTTACTAATGGGATCATATTGTATATTCTTTCCTATGGTTGACTTCTCTGTGCTTTGACCATAGATCACAGCCAGGTTTCCTTCCTGTACTGGCTATACAACATTGTATTTGAAGCATACTTGAAAATATAATATACTTGAAAATATGTCCTTGAATGGTCATGGGAATATTTCTCTAAATAGTTGCTTTGAAATGGAGTTTCTGAATTAGAAGTTTTACCGCTTCAAATTTGTGATTGGAACTAAGATATTGTCCTCCACCTTGGCAAGAGTGTGGGAGGGTGTTTTCCTATAGCCTCAATTACATCAGATTTAAATTTTTACCAATCTGGTTTTCACTTGAACTTGCATTTCCCTAAATCTCAGTGAACTGGGTCAGACTTACTGGCACTCAGTACTTTTTTTCTCTGAATTGCCCATTTTCCCACCATTCAGCCTGCCATTTTTTTTTTCATTGATTTTTGGGGGCCCTTCAAATATTATGGCTTTTAATTCTTGGAGAGCTGCATAAATTATCAGTGTTTTTCTCCCAGTTTATTTATCTTTTAACCTTGATTATGATGTTGTTTTTCCTAAGGATGTTTTATATTTATCTTATCTATCAGTCTTTTCTTCTAAGGTTTCTGAATACTATTAGATAGTTATCTGATTAGGAAACTGGGCCAGTGAATTTTTTTACTCATTATTATGTATTAAAATACGGTCAAACTTAGAAGAATCCTAAATCATTAAATCATAGCTTAGCCTCTCAAAGGCAAAGTTTGCAGGTCTCAGATCCTGCAGGGACTGTCATTTTTGCCAACAGCCAGTGATAAGGATTACCTCTGTGGACCCAGTGAAGGCTATCTTGCTGATCTGAGGGTGTGAAGAAATTGCTGCTCCTACTGTTGGCCCAAATCCTGGCACGATGTTGACCACGCCTGGAGGGAATCCGACCTGCATTCAGGGGAGGAGAATGGGCCAGTCCACCACAGGCCCACATTTGGGCCAAGAGAGCCATGTGAAGTCCCCAAGCAGAGTGGTACCCTCACTGGGAAGCCTAGGGACATGTCATACATCCACCGCAAGACTCAGACCCAGTTAGCCTGTGTGTGGGTCTGGCTAGGGTGAGGCATATACTCCTCCTTCCAGGTCACCCCAAAAGGGCCTCTGAACAAAATGGTGGTGGCCCTCCACAGCAGAGCATCATTCCTTGTGTGTGTGTGTGTGTGTTTGTCCATGTGTCTGTGTGCATATATCTGTATGTCTATGTGTGTGTCTGTGTATGTCTGACTCTGTGTGTCTGTCTATATGTCTCTGTGTGTTTGTATGTGTTTGTGTATGTGTCTGTCTCTGTGTGTCTATGCATCTGTGTCTGAGTATGTGTGTCTGTGTCTGTGTGTTTTGGGGGAGGAGGGACATCTTAGTCACAACCAAGGCTCAGAGGCACCTGCAAAATATCCTTCCCGAGCTTCAGTTTTCTTTTTTTAAATCTGCTCCATTGATGTTCCAAGTGGCAACATGGCATCACTCCCTCAAAGTTCTCGCTTGTCATATGCAGAGCAGACGTGTTATGAAGGTAGAGACCATTTCTTCCACAGTCATGCCTCCTGCTTTGCACATATCAGGTGTCTTTATTAGCCAAGAACACCACAAATGATTGAGATGGGGGATGCTCTTTGCACCTGCTCAGAGTCTTACTTAAAATGCATTATTTTAGAAAGGCAAGATTTCAGGGCATGGTGCTCGAGTCTTAGTTTTCCAGCGTGCATTTTTTTAACACTTGTGATTTTAGAATCAGTAAGTCTCATTAATATGATGCCATCATGTCCTATATCACCGGCAAAAGGAGGGCGGAAAATCGGTCAGTTATTGGCTACTGCACCCTTATATCTGAGCAGTAAAGGTTTTGTTTCGTGATCATATTAGCCTGGCCAAGAATTGAAATGAATACTCTTTGTTCACATGCCTCTTTACTTCCTGTGTCTTTTTAAAACTCTTAGTGACATACAAGCTGGCGGCAGAATGACTGAATGAACAGCCAAGTGTGTCTGGCAGGAGGTGTTCCTTTGGGCCGTGCGGCGGCTGCCTGGGGGAGAGAACAACCCCCGGGGCAGAGAGCATGGGTGAGGAGCTCTGGGTGAGTGAGCCTGGCCTGGCGGCAGCCACTCTAACAAGAACTGGTGTGGCGACCCCTCCAGGAGAAGAATAGACCATTTCAGACACCACAGATGCAAGGCCTGAAGAGCCTCCCAAATATTTGGCTCCCTCTCAAGTGACCCACCTGCAAATTCTCTAGGCAAAACATTTGGTCCTCAACTATAGGTTGGAGGCCATAATAAATGGAAGTATTCCCAGTAGGATCAGGGGGAGGAATGGAGTTCCTTCTACCTCAGAGACCAGCAGGAGAAAGGAAGTGTAGTTTCCAAATGAAATACAGCAGTCATTCAAGTACACCACAGCTCAGCAGGGCAGCTTTACCAGTGACAGTGGCCTGGTTCTTAGGAGCAGGAATGTTATCAACAACATATGGTATTTTCTTCTTGGAGGTCTTACCTCTTTCACCAGAGAGCCCAGATAAAGGGCGGTAAGAGGAGTCTGCTCGGCGGGCTTCACGACCACAGTGTTCCCACAGCAGAGAGCAGGTGCCAGTTTCCACACCAGCATCAACAGAGGGAAGTTCCACTGCAACAGGACACAGGAGAAGTTGGGGTGCCCAGATTTACCCCATTACCCTGTCCCAGAGGTCCAGTGATGCCCCTGTGGAGGACACATGCTTTGCACAGTCTAGATCTGGGGTATAATGGGTAACGTAGGAGTGTGGAGTGATCAGGGCAGCATTCCTGTCTGGTACTTCTTAAACCTCATTCTGACGATACTAATTGGTGGTCATTGTAAAGAAGCTTCTGCTGTCCATACACTAGCTTCTCCTCTTGGAGGTTTATAATACCTTCAGCATGTTAAAGGCTCTGAAAGTGCTGCAGGAACAAGACCCATGTCTTCTAAACTCAGATGCCACAGGATCTTCCCTCTTCTTAAAGAATACATACTAATCCCCCTACCTACTGAATTGGTGTTTGGTGAAATTCATTTTGGAAAATGCTTTTTTTGTCATCTTTTAACTAGTGAGGTAAGGACACTAAAATCACTGTGACAGGAAATCCAACAAGAACTAACACGTACTTAGCACTCACTGTGTCCCGGGTGCCGTTCCAAGCACTTCACCAAAACAACTACCTAATTTGATCCCTACAAACCCATACGAGGTGGCCATCTTATCATTCCCAATTACAGATGAGAGACCTAAGGCACGAAAGGGTGAGGTCACCTGTTCAAGGTCACAAACTAGCAGGCAAAGGCTAGGATCCACAGCCAGGCCTGTGTCCTCTGCTCACTGCTGCTTGAAGCATCATCTTGGATGAGACAAAATGAAACCAAGCATCTCCAAGAGATTCTAGCTATCCCTCAACACCTCCTCCTTCCCACAGAAGGGGTCTGTTTGGCTCCTATTGCTCCCAAGAGGCCACAGGAGAGTTCACCTGAGAACCAACCCTTGCAGGGCCAACTGAAATCGGGCACTCATGGGAGAGCTGCTAGAATTCTACCCCCAGCTCCAGCTGGAATTCCTACCTCTAAAAAACAAACATAAGACCTCAGCGCTCAAGGGCCTGTATGCCCAACTACATGATAGCAGGCATTGTTCTGGGATTTCCCTGCTAGTGATGGGGATCCCCTCTTCTTCTGGGATTTCTACTCCTTAGCACATAAATAGCATCCTCTCTCCTGTCCTACAAACAAACACGCACCTTCCCAGACCTCCACCTCTCCCAGCAGATCCTTCCCTCTCACTGCAACTTCTTGGCAGAGCCATGCCCATGTGCCCAGCCCTCTTCCCATCAGCCCCAGAAATTTGGCCTCAGCCACTCCTGAAACTCCCCTGACACTGCTCTTGGTGAGCAAATCTAACAGTGAATTTCTCTCCTTTTAAATTTTCAGGTAGATGACCCCACTGGCCACAGTCTCTCTCTGGCAATGCATTTCATCCCCAGAATGCCCCTAACCCTAGCTGCTCAGGCTTCTCGGTGTGATCCCCCGGTAGTCTCTGGGATTTGGCCCCTGGCCTCACTCTTGGGGAACCTCCCCACCCAAACAGATGGGCAGGACCTGGCCTGACCATTGGCTTTTGAGTGGCTCCAGCCCTGGACTCTCCCTGGCCGCAGACCTAAACATACAAACATCTAATGGGACCTCTGGCTGTTCCACTGGCCCCTCAGCATCACAAGCCAGGAATTACCTGTACCTTTCAAGGCACTCCTCCCAGTCTACTTCTCCCCCCAGCCCCTGTCTTCTCCATCTCACCAGTCAGCAGTACCATCCACACAATTCCAGCCAGGACTCACCCCAGCATCTGATCATTACTGAACTCTACCAGCTCTCCCTCCTTGGAAACTTTCAGATCCACCCCTCTGCTTGTCCCTCAAATGCGTCCTGTCTTATCATTTCTCCTGGTGCAGATTCCTCCCTCAGCCTTCTAACCGACCTGCATGTTTCTAGGGGGTAAAGGCTGGGCCCTTCCTGTTCTCAGTACCTGACCCCCTAGCACCAGGCCTGGCACACAGCAGGCTCTCAGAACTGTTTGAGGAAGGGTCACCTCTGCCTCGCCCCCATGGAGAACCTTCTCTATCTTGTCCCCATGCTCCTGCCCGTTTCCCTAGCTTCCTGCCAAGATCACATCGTCTCATTCGCAGGCACCTGCCAGGCTCCCCACTGCCCAGTGAATAAAGTCCCAGGTCTTTGCCAGCCACAGCCCACTGAAAGGTGGGCCAGCACAGCACTTTGTTCCCAGCTAAGCTCTGGCCTCACCAGCTGCCCTGCCATTGCCCTCCAAGGAATCGGGTGCATCCACATTGGCTCAGGTCATTCCTACTGCTTAGAAAACCTTTTGTCCTGTTAAACAGCTCTTCCTTAGCCTCCAAAGCCCAATTAAGAGACCACCACCCCAGGGGTGCTGGCCATTCTTGACCCCTCTGGCTGGAATCTGTGGTAACTTCTGCTGCTGGAATCAGTGCCGATGGCAGGAATGGGATTGAATCCATCTTGTGGACACTCAAGCACCGAGCTCCATGCCACGGAGCAATGATTAATTATGTGAGTGCAATTGAATCAAAACACAAGAACTGGTTTCAAAGGCCACAGAGGAATGGGGCAGGATCGATCTAGACAGATCCATCCAGAAAAGCTGCCATACTTACAGGAGTGATGGCCCCACACACACCTATGGGCTCATGCCTTGTGAAACACACAACGTTGTCATCTGGAAGACAGGTTACATGGAGGAAATGAACACACTCGTGTTAATCTAGGCTAGGATTCTAACAGTAAAAAGACGAGAAACCCAGAAGCCCCAGAAGCCCACAAAGGTGTCAGCTCCAAGTCTTGTCTATTCCACAAAGAAGTGATTTTTAACTCAATTTCAAAAGTAAAATTCAAAATCAGCAGAGTGCTGTTTCTCTGTTGGGCCTGGGAAGGATGCCCTAGGAGGAAAAACCACGGGGTGCTCTGGAGAGGCCTCCTGGAGGAATGAGAAGATGGAGCCCCCAGAAGTCCCCAGATGGGTCTGAGAGGCCTGTGCTGGCTCACCTGTGGGGATGGTCCTGCCCTGTATTTTGTCTGCCCACCCTGCAAAGTATCGGAGGGTTTTAATACATCCTTCCAGGTCAATGAAAAAGGCATGAAGGAACGGCTTCCCCATGTCCATTGTTTCCAGGGTCTGCAATGATAAGGTAACAGCAGTTTCAATGCAGTTTCCTTCGCAACCGTCAGGTTGTTAATGGCGGGGGGAGTTGGGGGTGGCGGGGTGTGGGGGTAGTGGTGGTAGGAAGCATAGCCCCAGAACACTGTGTCTCTTTAGAAAGCAAGACGCCATATTTAAATAAGACTGTCCCAGGCTGTCAAGGACACCTTTTCTTGCAAAACACGTCCATCTGGCAGGTCCGCCAGAGCATGGGTGATGGTCCCCAGGAAGGACAGCAGAATCAAGACTGGTCTGGGGCCTCACTGGGAAGGAATACACATTAGCATTTGGTCTTCCACCCAGAGCACAGCTGCCTCGTCTGTGTCACCTGGACACGTGGATTCCTGCATTCCCAGGGAGGTCTTGGAAGGTTAGCTGGCTATGGGGCAGCTAGAAAGAGGGCCAGCTTCCTCTAAAAGAGAAAGGGAGAAACGTCTCTTCTCTCTTGGCTGGGCTGATCCGCATGGATGTAGAAGGAGTGACAGAGCCCAGAAGGGTCGCGCCACCAGCACAAAGTCACAGTCCTGCCTCACTGGGCTGCTGACCGGATGTGCAATGGGAAGGGAGCAGGCTCACCCTGGGTGGAGGGGGGGGGGGATTACCCAGGGCAAGTGTGCAGCTACTCAATGGCATGGATTCTTTCCTATTTCCAGTGTGGGCTTAAGAGAACCCCTTTGTCCCTCACACAAATGGCCCCAGTGGAGCCAGGCGCTGAAATGGCCTGTCATTTGTCTGTGCAGGAAGTGGCCACCCTGACACACAGCCCGGGGCTGGACTCTTGTTTTAGAGTTGATGGAGTGGGATGATGATTTACAAAGGAAGAGCCATGAGAGGCCCCTCCACGTGACCTGCATGTGCCCCATCTCTGAATTTGACACCTGTCTCCACTTTGCCGTGCAGACTCTGGGGCTAATGGACCCCAGAGATACCCAAGGTCATCCAGCCAGTCAGCCAGCACTGAATTCAGGGCATCTAACAGCCAGCACAGTGGGCATTTGCACCTGAAAAGACTGTAGAATGGTTATCAGGGTGCCCAGGGCCACTCCCTGTGACCTTCGTGTTAGGGATGAGCCAAGCTGTCTCTAAATAGGAGTCAACTAATGTCCAAACTGAGTGGCTAGTCCCTGAAGGTCTCTTGGCCTCAGTTTCTGCTTGTGTAAAATAATAATATTAATTAAGTAACTACAAATGAATACTAGTACCTACGTCTAGGGCGAGTGTGGCTAGAAGGGTTAGAATACACAAAGCACTAACGGCCGTGCCTGCCTGCTGGAAGTGCCATGTTAGCTGTTAAAATGATGACAGGAAGAGCTGCCATGATTAGGATCACCTTCCCTTTGGGGACCAGACAGATGCTGGATAATCCTCACTTGGGGACACTGAGGAGACAGGGTTATGAGTTGCTGAAGATGACAGGGCCAGTCTGGGACATGTACCACTCCCAGCGCATGCTGCTCAGTGGCTGAGTCAAGCCAACATGACATCCAATGCCCTACGCCTTTGGCTTCTACCAATTGGCATTCCAAGTCGGAATTTCTATTTTCCCAGGGGAAACCCAACCATTGCAAAGCATGCCAAAAGGTCTCCAGGGCTGGGCTACTCCAGAGAGCAACTGTGTATCTCTTGGTGGAACCAGGGGCTTATTCTTGGTCTTTTTTCTGGGATGGGACAAGGAAGAGAAAGGCATAGGACTGTTGTATAGCATTGTGGGGGATGCCTGCCTCCAGTCCTGGATTACCTAACCTGGCTGGGTAACCTTGGGCAGGTTACTTAACCTCTCTGGGCCTCAGTGTCTCCACTTCCAGAGGGGATAATAAACACTGCTGGTCAAATGCCTACAGCAAGCCTGGTATGTGGTGATCACGCAACAAGCATTGGCTATTTTTTATTATTTAACTTGGGCAAGTGTGCTTACTGGAGTGACAACATGAATTTGCCAGGTTAGTTCTGTGGAATCTGTCCAAGCAAAACCTGGGTTATGATAGGTTTAGACAGGAAATTCTTTTTAAAAATAAAGAAAGATTCTCGGATGACTACACAGGATTGAACCTGAGAAATCAAGTGTCAGCTACTGACTAGGACTTTTAAACAGTTATTATAGCTGGACCATGAATAAACCACAGCTGCCTCTAAGTTTATTTCAATTAGCATTTGAAAAGAAAAATATGCCTTCTGAGAAATTAACACATCATAACCCTCAGATACTAAAGAATGAAGGGGAAGTGCCGGGGGCAGCTGCCCCTGGACTCCTGGTGTGCCAAGGCCTAAAATGAGGGGCTCAGGTTGAAAAGAGTAAACAGGGAAGCCTCCTATTTAGGAAGCTCCCCGAATGAGCACTGAGTTTGGGCCCCAGGTGTCTCAGTAAAGGAGAGAAACTGGGGCTACTGGATCCCCACACCTGTTTCCAAACACTGAACGTGGAAGTAAATGCCCAGCTCTGTCAAAACCACCAAGCCGGCAATAGTACATGATGGGAAGAAGCACTTTGCTGTGTAAAAACACAGGAAAACCCTATCAAGTTGCCAAGGTGCTTTCTTATGATGGGGTCTGGGTTTAGAAACTGTATTTGATAGCCATTGTCTTGTGTCTTTCGTGATGTGGCAAAAAGCTCCACCTTATTTATTGTGGGTAGCGGGTCCCAATGACGGAGGCGCTTGCTCCACCTGCTATCACAACGCAGTCCTGCCGGGACAGGGGAACAAGCTGAAGGCAATGGTGGCTTTGCTGCCCCCACTCCCTAGGATGATACTGACCCTTGAGCCTGGGGCAGGGAGGGTGCCCGGGGCACATCCTCTCCCGCCCGCTATTAGTCCACAAGGACATTGCAGACCGATGAGGTCATGCTGGGTGAAAACAGAAATGTTTTTGAAAAAGCCAGTTTGGCAGCTTGAGAGTTGAGGCTGGCTTCCACTGCAGGAAGAAACCAGAGGCTCCACGGAGAGAAACGCTGATCCAGGGAGGGAGCCACCCTTACTTGGATTTGGGGCAAACATGCCAGGCTGGCGGAGTGGGGAGGAAGGAAGGAAAGCTCAGGTTCTGGAGGAGATGTGGCCCCGGGGGATATGCAGCTCAGAAAAGCCCCCAGATACAGAGTTCTTCCACTCCCCACCCCAAGACCCACATTTCAGGACACAAGCCATCCCAGTGTCCTGACGGGTACTGGTCTCCAGCATTCTCCTGCTCATTCCCGACATCAGATAAAGAAGGGAAGAAACTCTTTTTCCAAATCAGAGGCTAAAAAAATGTTCTTCCCTACCAACTATTCCTCAAGGTTGTAGTAAATTTTAAACAGGAGTCTAAGTCGCATGAGGGCTGCGTGCTCAAGTTGCAAAGGACCTCAGATCAGCGCTGATTACCCACCACAAGACCAAAGGAAAATCTCAGAATCATTTTAAATAATGCATTTATGACTTACTAATGTCACCCCAGCCCCATCTCCTGGGAACAACACTATTTCATAGTGTGGGCTGAATTAATATCACCTTTTGCAGTGGAGGAACTAAGGTGAAATTACTGGCCAACAGGGCATGTACCTGAGCATGTAGCATTACTATGAAGACTGCTATTATTAATAATAGCTATCATCTATTTACCACTTACTGCACTCCAGGGACTCTGCTAAGGATTGTAAATGGCTCATTCTTATACACCACTTAGATATCATTATTAATAATATTTTCTGCCAAGCAATATATTCTCAGACAGGTGAAGCAACTTGTCACACAGCTAGTAAGTGGCAGAGCTGGGGTTTGAACCAAAAATCTCGCCCTGTTTTCACCATCACTCCACATGTGCTCACCACTGCCCAGGGTGAAACAGGGGTGACTTTTAAGTTATACAGGGACAGTTTTTTCTATCTTAAGTAATGGTATTTATTTTATAAGTATTAATAAATATATCTACATTTTAAAAATAGTAAACCTGTGATTTAAGCTTTTGACTTCATGGATATTGTCATTCAGGAGGAGGGTAAATTTAAGTTTAAAAGGGAGTCCACATAAAAAAAAATTAAGTTTGTAAATGTACTGGTAGGATTAGGATATGACCCTGCCTATCCCAGTCCAGCCCAGCTGTCTGCATATCTCTGGGAAGCAATGACGTAGCTGAGCTTCCTCCAGGCAACTTCTTGGTCAAGAAGCTGAACTGCAGGAGGCTAAAATCCGACTTCAAAATGAAAAGGATGAAGTCCAGGCGCACGGACACCTGTCTACCGCCAGAGAACTGCACCTCCCTGGACGTGACAAGCGTACTGCCCCATAAAATCAGTGCCCTGGGTTGTTCCTTCCACCCCTGGCACGGGACAGGCCCCTCAGGGAGGCAGGTACTCACTGCCAGGACGGCGCGGTCCCTCTCCACGAGGTCAGCCAGCTGGTGCAGCAGCCGGCCGCGGCTCAGGGCGTCCAGCCGGCGCCATGGCGAGCCCCTCTGGAAGGCGGCTCGTGCGGCCTCCACAGCCTTGTCCACGTCGGGCTGAGAGGCCAAAACAACAGAGAGACTGTGGCACCATCCAGGTGACTGCAGTATGGGGGGGCTCGGAGACAAGCGTACTGCCCCATAAAATCAGTGCCCTGGGTTGTTCCTTCCACCCCTGGCACGGGACAGGCCCCTCAGGGAGGCAGGTACTCACTGCCAGGACGGCGCGGTCCCTCTCCACGAGGTCAGCCAGCTGGTGCAGCAGCCGGCCGCGGCTCAGGGCGTCCAGCCGGCGCCATGGCGAGCCCCTCTGGAAGGCGGCTCGTGCGGCCTCCACAGCCTTGTCCACGTCGGGCTGAGAGGCCAAAACAACAGAGAGACTGTGTCACCATCCAGGTGACTGCAGTATGGGGGGGCTCGGTTGTCATTATGGAGAATAGCAGAGACCTGCCTCTGTCCTGCGGCAGAGGAAGGAGGGGGTGGCAGGCAGGCGGTGAGGGATGGCCAGAGTGATTTTTTTTCCTTTTTAAATCTTTTTCAAGATTTCTACAATGGCCAAGTATTAACTTTCCTTTTGATTATAAAATATTAAAATTGTTTATAAAACTACTGACCTTAATTATGTTTTTGGGTGACCCAAGTTGGAAAAGATTTTCCACTAGCTAGCTCAGTTTGGACACACACACTCCCACAGTTTACCAATTAGGTAGGAAATGTCTGTCTTGGCAATTTTATTCCAGCTGAGGACTGGGGCCTGCTAGTGAGAATGGGGCGCGAGTATTTCCCTAGATCTCAGAACCAACCATGTTGGAATAGTCCATGGATGGAGGACCAGGGATATTTTTCTCCCTTCAGCCTCACCTCCCTCCCTGGGGGCAGAAGGGCTACACCATTTTATAGACAAGGAACCAAACTTCTCTGCAGTGATAGAAGAATTACAATCACACCTTCTTATAAGGAAAGAAGTTGAAGCTATTTAGAGTAATGTCACCCATCCTTATTTTCAGGAAAATGGGCTTCAAGTCTCTGGTAGCTGAAAACGACTCATCCCCCAGGCCCCTCAGATCCTCTCTTCTCTAGGGAGGTACAGCCTGCAGTGGACGCCTGATGTAGTCAAGAAAAACACTCTACTAAGATTCTGTATTTCCAAGTGTGCTTGGAGGTGAGTGGAAGCTTTGGCAAGGGAGATATTAGGACTTTGAATTCCTCACTCTGGGATGGAGGCTGGGACCTCTCCAGCTGCAAGGGACAGGACAGCTTCTGTCTCCAGTGCTTACAGCAATCATCCAGAGCTGGGGCCAGGAAGCTTATTCTTCTCAACCTGCATCTGGGAATGGCCTGCTGGGAATCCTGCTCAGCATAATGCCCCCAGCTGCCCACCCGCTCCCATCTTCACATGAGCTCCCTGGTGCCAGTACTTCCCATCAACAGAGCCTAGCATGAGGCACTGCACATAGAGAAGTCTGTACTGGTGTGACCACTGCACACTGCGCACTTATCACAAAACTATTGCTGGAAGGATTAAATGCAAGCCCATTTTACACAGGTGGCATTCACCCTGTCCATGTTCAACATCACCCATACACTTACTAAGAACATCAGGTAAGTACTCTTACTGTAGTGGTTGAGGAGAGGTTTACACTTCCCTTCCCTCCTAGAAAAGCTTTACCTTTGACCTTTCCCTCAATGTTACTTATATTAAAAAAATACTTTGTGGTTTTGAAGTGTATCAAGGACACAACCAGAAGTCCTTTAGAATCACACACACACACACACACACACACACACACACACACACACACACACACACATATATATATATATAGTTATTATATATAATATAGTTTATATTTTATATACCCTGAACTGTTGACTAGGTGCTATAGCTGTTACAAGGACTATAGCTCCACATGATCACTTACATTTCTAGTAAAAAGAAATCTGGTGATTGCATGACGTTATCACTCCCGCATGAATCGATTAGCAAGTCTTTTTTCCTTTGAGTCTTTTTTTATCTTTAAGTGTCTGCTGCCAGAATGCTGCATCTCATGAAACACACCAGCCAGAAATGCTTTCTGGAAAGGTTCTTTAATGCCTCCAGGTTCAAATAATTGATAAAAACCTTTCCTTTAGCCACATGATGAGGATAGCTGAGGTCATCCTCATAGATGGAGAAACATTTATCAAAGGAGAGTGACTCTGCAGCGGATCGTCCCTAATTGATCCCATTCTGGGCCATGTGTTTGCGAAGCTGCTAGCCTGGATCCTATGCCGAGTATGGGCCAGTTCTGTCTTATAACTAAGCCAGACTGCTTCCTTATCCTTTAGTTATCTGTAATTGAATTACTTGGGGTTGGCGGAGAGAGCACCCACCTTATCTCCTTCTTCTACTTCACATATTTTTTCTAGAGTTGAAGGGTTATACGTGGCAAACTTTTTTCCACTCTTGGATTCATGCCATTCATTGTTGATGAATATCTAATCAGGAAAGGAAGTTGTAATGCATTAGGCTTAAATCAAAATCATATAATTCCAACATGCTGAGGAACTTAGGTAATGTCTTGTCCTTCCCCATTGCTTACCCACCCACTCACTCTTTCATAGATGGAAGAAAGGGGCAAGAGCCCCATGCCCAACTGGAGGCATACTCAGAATTAGAATCCAAATCTCTTCTTGACTTGCAATAAATATATTCTCAGAGAATTACTTTTGTCATAATAAGACTAGTTATTTATAATTTTTTTCTAAAATGTTCTCTTTTTTGAAGCAATTACATGAATTCCCAGAGGAGTTGCTGAATTCATAGTTAAATAGAGCATGTAAGTTAAATCCTTACATGAAGTTTGGGGAAGATTAGGTTTATAAATGTAAAATGCCAAGCAATCTACCTGCCCCTGAAGGACTCCTATCTTCCTCCTTCCTGCTGCGACCCCCAACTAGATTGCTAAGGAACTGACTTTATACAAGGATCTTACCAGAACCCTTTGCTCTTCCGCAATGCATATCAGCACCCCTTCCCCCACATCTTTAAAATGTCTATTTTCATGTTGGGCTTAATAAAAGCCAGTGATGGACTACAAAGATAAATATCTGGGTTAGAAAATGTTCTGGTTATGTTAACACATACAGCAAATATGGTTGATATCCAGAACTGAAGAACTGACCCACAAAAATCACTGAGTCCAGAGCCTCAAGTATCTAGAACAGAGCTGAAAATAAGAAAAGAAAGAAGAGAAAAGAAAGAAGAGAAAAGAAAGCAAAGAAAGAAAAACAATGCTATGAACAAACTAAAAAGAATGCCCAAGGTCCATGCACTGACACATTTGTACTATTTACTCCAAGCATACTCTAAGTTTTTTTCCTTCAAAATACCACATCAGAAGAGAGGGCTTTTGGAAAAGAACTAGGAACAGAGGGGACAGATAATATACAAAACACATTCCGACAACATGGAGGTCCTGGCTGCCCAGCAAGAGGACAGCCTTGTCATCATGCCCAGTTGCAGGCATGGGCGTAATGCTTCAGGAACATTGCCATCAAATAAAATGCCATCAATAATTTCCAAGTTCAAAACTAGTTCATCAGAGTCCTTTTCTATATCTATATGGATATCTTTTGCTTCTCTTCGAGTTGTTTGAAAGAATTGTGTCACTGCAAGGGCTAATTTCAATTAGTGTAAATCGTATTCATTTGGAGCACTTGACTCCCCAGTGATGACAGATGTGGGGAGTCCTTGCATCCAGTCGGAGGCTCGGTTAGGTTCTGTGTCCTGGGCTCTTCTGTAAAAACTTCAAAGCTTACTGGAAGGAAGCCTGCCTCGGGAAGCTGCTGGCAGAAGCCGTTCCGATAACTCTCCCTGAAAGGCAGGGAAGTCTGAGACTGGGGACTGAGCACAGAAGGCCAGCTCTGGCTGGGCAGGTGGGCACCCGCCTCCAATACCCAGTGGGGAATCCAGAGCTGAGAGTGTCCCTTGCAGCTAGGATGTGCCCATCTGACTTCTGGAAGCTCAGAGCCTTCAACGTGAGGCCAGGCCCCCTGGGAAGAGCGCAGAAAAGGCCAGGCTACAATTACAGGTTTATTCTTCCAGCTGAAACCAAATCCAAGAGTTCACTTTTGCCATCCGGCAAGCAATCCCTCAGAAACAGCGAGAAATTAATAAGTGGAGAAGAGGAGTTAAGTTAGCGCGGGGAGGAAAGTGCAGGAGGGAAGAGAGGCCCATTTGTCGGAAGATGAAATTTCGTGGCTTAGATAATAGAGACTGTCAGTGAAAACTGCTGATTGTAGGTCCTTCCTGGTATCAATTCCAAGAGGAAGGGAAAATGAGAAGATGGTAGACGAGAACATAAATAAGGAGGATGGAAACAGATTGCAACGATCAAATGTCTGTTATACTTCAACTCCAAGTATGTTCCTCCAAAAAAAAAAAAAAAGAATTACTTGGTCGTTCATGACATTGATCCACAGTCCTTTCTAACCAGCAACTTAGAAAAAAATTCTGACTGCTCAACTCTAACCATCTTTTCCCCTTACAATGTTTCTCATTTAGTAAATTTTTTGTCTTTACAAGTACACTAGTAAGTAATTTTGCAAGGGGTTTCTACTGTTGATTTTCTCTCTACTACAACCAAAAACACAAACAAGGAAGGGGTCCGTGAGTGTGGCCTACCAGTGGTGCTGGGTCTGTTATTCTGAGCCCCAAATCAAGAGAACGGGTCTAAAAGAATTGTTCCCCTTGGCTTGTGAATTGGTATGAAACAAACCTTTCAGAAGTATAATATTCAGTTACTTTGAGCTGTAGATGGAATTCACATTGCACTTCAGTAGAAGAATGGAAGCGTGTGTCATCTGGACTGAGCTAGAAACCCACAGTTGTTCTGAGGAAATAGGTGTTGGGTTGAACGCACTGATAGGGGTCATACACGTGAGTTCCGCCACCATTTAGAGTAACTTCTTCTGGATATTAGTTAAACTAAGAAGGAAAATGTTACAGAACAGGAGACTTGAGGGAATTTTAGTTTTTATAAAAGAGCTCATAAAAACTCATGTTTTATGGTGTGGGAGATCACGGGGAAAACAGTGTAGCACAGAGAAGGCACATAGTGGATCTGTGGCATCTTACTGCACTGATGGATAGTGACTGCATTGGGGTCTGGGTGGGGACTTGATAATACGGGTAAATGTAGTAACCACGTTGTTTTTTCATGTGAAACCTTCATAAGAGTGTATATCAATGATACCTTAATAAAAAATTTTTTAAAAAATCTCGTTTTAATAAAACAGAAAATCTTTGAATCTTTGCTCCTAGAAGAAATTTTGTAAGGAAAGGAAGGGGCCCCCTGCAGTGAAAGGGGTTGCCATCCTCTGAGGGCTGTGTGGGAGTTCTGGGGGACACTCTTCTCACTGGAATCACACAGCAGAGCCCAAGATTAGAATAAGTACGAGTGAATGAACTTCGACAAGGTCAGCCTGGACAATGAACTTACCCTGGGAAATGGCATCCTCAAGGGATGAGCTCAGACCCACCATCTCTGGCATGTCCTCCATTGGCAAGAAGTATCAAGAGTCAGGTTTGAAAAGCAACAGACTATTACCAGCTCACACATCCCACCCCTTCCAACTGCCCGCTCTGGTCCCCATTCTGCTGTTCTGTTTCTCCCACTTCCTGCTTCTCCCCTCAGCCCTGCTGGCTGCCCCTCCAGCCACAGGCTCCCTATGCGTTGTTCACCCAGGTTGCCCACCCTCAGCCACAACCTTGCAGGCTGTCCAGGCCCCACAGCTGCTCAGGGGGGACCTCTGAAGAGGTGGGCCCGAAGCAAGGACAGAGCAGGCAGGTCTTGCCTGGTGTCAGGCCATTCAGCCATCATTGCCTGGGGACCCCTGCATCTCATTGCTTTGTCTCAGCCTCAATCACACACTCAGTACTATCTCACTGGGAAAAGGGGGCACCTACAAGGCGGCAGACTGCTCTGTGCATCTGCTAAGATCCTCCTCGATAAGAGCTGCATTTACACTTGTAAAGGGCTGTAAAGAATTGTGGAGAAGGAGGTAAACTTTCCATATGTGGTTGCATTGCTCTGATAGGACTCAGAAAGGTAAAAAGTAAAAGGACAGTAATACATGTAATTTCTACATCATTTAGAAAAATCCTAAAGAACAAAAATAAAAACATGATCACCACCAATAGAGGAGCACCAATGGTGTTAGGGTCTAAACAAATTTCAGCACTGTTTTCACTGTTTCTAGAATTTGTGTTGAACTTTTTGCTCTGAAGCTGATACTACTAAGAAAACTATTAAAAACACTCTTCAGCATTTATGGTGAAGTGTCTCTGTTGATTACAGAGCCCTTTGAAACAGTTAATTTAAATGTCATGTGATCAGAGGCCCAGACGACATTAAGTGACAAGAGACCAAAATCTGAAGGGCCACACATAGTGGCCTGCAACTTCCTCGGCTTGATTAAAACTATTTGAGAAACATAATTGCTACTTTTGAAAGTAAAATTGATGGGGAATTTTCCAAGTGCTGTGTCAGCTGGCGTTGGAGGTTATGGATAAGATGCAAAAAAAAGAAAGTAAGAAACCAAGTTGGGGAAATGGAAGCCAAGGAGGTCTCTTGGCCTGTGTGTGCCCCCGAAGTGCCCCCAGCCCCCGACCCACGGCCTTCCTAACAGCCTCGGGCGCCCTCCCACGGGACACGCCCCTGGACGTGAGGCTCCCAGCCTGGTCTCCAGTCCTCGCCATCTTGTTTCTGCCCTAGGGTGGTGATCTCACTCCTCTGCTGACGCTCCCAGCTTCCCAGGCAGTGTGAAAAGGCAGAGAACCTGAGGACTACGCATCGCGATGGGGCCTTGCTGCTCGCGGCAACCCAGGTCCAGATATGAGACCATTTAGTCGGTAAACACCAGGGCCTCTGGGCAATTTTATCAGTGATTATCTTCCTACTCCCTCCTTTCTACTGGGAAACGAAGTACAAGGTAAGCACAGAAGGTGTCCGACGTTTCCCCCATTGCTCACGCATGTGTTTCTGGAATCTTCCTGATGGAGCCTGAGCTCTCAGACCTGCTCTTAGGGTTTCTCTCTGACCTTCCCAAAGTCCAACAGTTCAGCCCCGAAACCATGCGTCAGGGTCTGCGCGGAGACCACCGCTCCGGGGTCCCTGCGACACACTACACACCTGCTGGCCGTGAAAGTGCGCCCTGCAGGGCCACGTCGGGCCCCGGGGGGGCAGCAGCCTGGCACCGCAGGGACGCCGCCCAGCCTCTCTCTCCCGGCTTTGAGGCTTAAAGAGGCCGTCTGAGCTCGCCGATTGCAGAGCCCCTTCGGAGCGCGCGATGGACACCCGCGGTACGCGAGATCCCTCCCGGGATGCCCTGGGCTGGACGCGGCTTCGGGAAGGCGGGGCCCCGCCGGAGAAGCTCGGGTCATCGGAGCGCCGGGAGAAGTCAGTTGAGGGCTCGCCGTCCGCAGCGCCCGGCGCCCTCGGAGCCGAGCAGCGGGGCTCTTGGCCCACTGGCCCCTCGTCCCCTCCACCCAGGGCCGGCAGCCCAGCGCGGAGCCGGGAGGCCGTCGGGTGGGATGGACGCCCAGCTCACCTTGGTGAACTTGACCTCTAGGTTGCGGATGGGACGCGGCAGGGCAGGCTGTTTCCTGTCCGGCTGCCCGTTCTCCACGGCCCCGTTGGCGGTGGCCATGGCTCCTCCACGCTCCCCAGCCCCAGGCGCCCGAGTCTGCGGCGCCGGCTCCGGCCAGGGCGGTGCACAGCTTGTTCGCGGGGTGACAGCTCCGCGCCGCTTTATGGAGCGCCCCACGCCTCCCGCCCGAGGGGGCCGTCTAATTGGCTGCAGGACGGGAGGAAGGGAGGGCGGGCTTGAGGGGAGGGCGCGGGTCCGCGTCACCCCACCCCGCCCGCCGCCCCTGCGGGAGCCCGGCCACCCTCCACCCGGCCACCGCGCTGTGCGCTCCCCGCCCCCGAGGCTGCCCTTGGAGGAGCTCCCCGAAGCGCCGCCGGGGCCCCGGAAGTCCCAGGGCCCGGACAGCGGGCGCGGGCAGGGGGACGGGACGCGGGGGCCGCAGCGCCCGGCGGCCTCCCCGAAGTCAGGCGAGGTCGCGCGCGGCACCTGCAGCCCCCGGCCCGCTGCCGCTCTGCGCAGTCGCCCAACTTCTGTCCATGCGTCGCGCTCCGGGATGAGCGTTCGCCCGCCGGGACCCTGCAGGCCGGTGTGGGGTCGGAGCGCCCCGCGTCGATGCCCACGTGCCTCGGCCTAGACACGGGCCGCCGGGTCTCCACTCTCAGGACAGACGCCCGCCGAGCCCCACTCGGCCTGGAATTTCCTCGTGGCCCTGGGGCTTCACAGGCCGAGGGGCAGAAGGTGAAGGAAAAACGTTTGGCCCTCCCTTCCTGCACCGCGCTGTGGAGTCCCCGCATGGCTGGGCCTCTGACCTTCACAGGCTCGCACCGCTCTCCAGCCCAGGGCCCTGGGATGCAATTATGGTTTCTAAAATGCATACATTATACCTCAATTTGAAAGAATGAAAAAAAGAGAAAGCACAGGAGATCTTTGCAGCTTTACGTTTTAAGAGTCAAAGCTTTTAGTCTGTAGATTGCTCATAACTTCCCACGGAAGCAGAAGATCCCCGGATCCTCTTGTTTAGCCATTTGGGAAACACTCCCCCAACGCCAGGGACTTGCCCCAGGTCCCGTCTGAGACTTGGAAGGAGCTTCTCATGCATGTCATCCCTCGGGTTCCTAGAACAATGATGTGGGGCACGAACTCCAGGACAAAAGCAGTGGTTTAATCCTCAAGACAGGCTCAGCCCTTCTCTCCAGTTACTTCTGTGAGTAATCGCAAATGATGGGCAATGGGAGCTGAGGGGATGTCCTACTGTCCTGAGGCTTTTTCTGTTTGTTTTTGTGATCTCAGCATCCATTGCTGGCCCCTCTTTCTTTCCTCACTACAGTGCTGCTGGGCGACCTTCTGGATAATGGAATAAGCTTTTGAGATTTTAGGAACCCCCTCATCAGATCACCTGCTCTTCCGGGTGAAAACGTCCTGTGCTGTTATGAGTTAGGATACACAGGTGAGGCAGGGACAGGGGATAATGGGTCCCCTAAATGGGTTACAGTTGACTGACATCAGTGCATCTGTCCTCCGCACTAGGTTCATTAACACTGATGAGTTGCAGAGCAACATTTCCTCTCTCCTCAGCTGTTCCTGCCAGTTCCCTGGGTCTCTGCCCTGACTAGCTGGCCCAGGGCACCCACACAGGTCTCCTGGAAAGATGTGGGTGGATGTCTCATGTCAAGGCCCATGGCTGGATGCAGACCCCCAGCATCTGGGTGCCAGGGCCCAGGAGGGCCTGCAGGGTCTGGTGGCAGACCCTCCCTGTCCTGGGGCCGGGGACCCAAGTCTGTGGGGCATACCAAGCACCATGAGACTGTAAGTAGAGAAGCTTTCTAACCTTAACTTCCATTCCAAGAGTTTCTTTGGGATTCTTGATGGTTGAACTTATGTCCCTGGTGCGAGGGCTTAAAAAAAAAAATCTGAAAATTTGTAGAAGAAATTGTGTTGAGTAACTGTTGGCTGGATGGGTGGAGGCAAATGGGGTGGGGGTTTAGGAACTCTGATCCCTTAGGGTGAGACAGTGAGCCTGTTTGCTTGAAGGTGGACAGCTGCCACCTTGCTTACCTTAAAGTCAGGAATGGAGGCCACCTCACTTCACACAGAAAGACACCCTTGTGACTGGCAGCATCTGGCCTTGGGGGCCAGTTGCAATGACGCATACTGCCTCACCTGCAGCTTCTCCTGTTGACACCCACCCACGTGATACTGGGAGCCTGGGATAGGAGCGGGACACTTGGCCATAGCAGGGGTCTCCCAGAGAGCAGGTCAGGGGTTAGGCCTGGCTCCAGACTTGTCCAGACCAGCAGAATACCTCTGCTCCCCTGACCTGCCACCCAGTGGGAGGAAGGCAAGATACTCTTCTCCCCATTTTATGGGTGAGTAAACAGAGGCACGCAGATACTTGTCCCAGAATCACCGTCAGTGGAGGAACCAAAGCCAGACTGTGTGGGGTGGGTGGGGCAGGCCATGGAGGAGGGATTTCTCTTCCTTTCCTCTGTGTCCTTCTTTCACCAAGGGTAGCACCTGGTCCTGTGTCCCCCATGTCACCGGGACAGCAGAGAACACAGCAAATGTACAGGTGCAAAGTCATAGCAGAGTCCCTCTAGGCTGTGCCTTTCATAGGAATCAAACCCTGAGGTCCTGCCTCTGAGATGGTGACCAGGAGGAAGGGCCGTTAGCCAGTGGGTGTCCGGGTGGCAGGGCGATTACCTGAACATTCAGGCACTCGAGGCCCTGCCCCTCCTGACCACATCCCTCACCTGGATTCCAGCTGTGTTCTCTTGGGTTGGACACTTCATCACTCTGAGCTTCGGTTTCTTTTTCTGCAAAATAATCTCAATTTACAGCGTTTGGGGAAGCTCAAGCAAGAAAATGGTATGAAAGAGTGCTTTATAAACCATAAAGTTCTGTATACATGCCAGTTCCTTATTTTCCTGTTCTTTCTGGAGACCTGCTAAGGCTTTTCTTCTGGGAAGTGGCAAGTTCCCCAGCTTCTCTCTGGTTTGGGGAAGCTTCCCTGGTCAACAGTTACTCTGCTAATTTCATTGTAAAAATAATATTTTTATTTTGTATTCAGCTCTGTGGCTCTGCTGTTACATGTTACTTGGTTCATGGCATGTCAGATTGTCTGAATCCAGGACGTTTCCTGTCGGAGGCTTGTTTGTTCAGTGAACATTCCATGAAAATAAGCATGTATTTAAGATAAAATTGACGTTAGATGCTACCATCCCCAAGCTCAACCTAATTCCATTTTAAGTGTATAAACATTTTGGAAAAAGTTGAGTTCTGTAGCAAATGTCCTTATTAATAATGATGATAATAATGGTAATAATGATGATGATAATGGAGCCTCTGTTTTGTTTTTCTTTATTCCAAGTCTGATATTTAAGCCTCACTGGGGGTGCCCAGAAGCCTTCTGAGGGCCCCCAGGGTCCCCAGAGATGGTGGCCTCCTGCACGCCTCACCCAGCAACTGGGAGTCAAGGCCAAGCTCTGGGACATGGATGTGTGGAACCCTGTGGTGGAGACCCAGGCTTCTCGGGTGAAGGTCATTCTCTGAAGTAAGGAAACAGTGAGGTTCTTCAGTGGCTCAGCAAACATGACCTCACCTCAGTTGTCTTGGCTATAAAATGGGCTGAAGTGTCCCTGAGGTGAGAGAAGGTTAACTTTACTGTGACACCTCCCCACTGGTGTCCATGGAGTGGATTCCACATTCCATGTGAGTCGGTCAGTGTTGCCCTAATCTGACTTGAATAGGGAACTACTTCCCTTTTGCACTCACTCACTGTAACTTAAGACCCCTCACGTACACGTACGGTCCAGGCTACTATGTCATTCTCTCCTCAGGGAATTACACAATGAGCTTCCTGCTAGTTTTCATCAGTGATTACTTACCAGAGGGAGGAGCACCGGGCCTGAGGAAGAGCAGCCAGCTGACACACAGCCACAGCGGAGAAGGGGCCCTAGCACCACATCTTTCAGCCACTTTCTTTTCAGCCCTGCTGGGCATTTCTGGCCCTGAGGGAAGATCTTCCACACACAGTATTGGTCTGGGGTATATCAGTTTTAGATCAGATAGAAGCAGAGAACTAAGTATGTAAAAGCAAAGAAGATACATCAAAGTATTTGTGGGTCAGGTCTTGATTGAGCCTCACACACACGCAGCCTGACAGTTCATGGCAGCTGGAACTTCCCCCCAGGTCCACCTTCCATGAGCAACCCTCTAGTGATTAAGAAATGTGACAAGGCCAGGAGAGAACATGGCAGGTAAGGTAGAGACCGCTGGCTGGCCACCCAGTTCTTATCTTCTTTCTTGCCAGTGGAACGGCACATCATTGAGGGTAGCGGTGTGCATTGATAAAACATTTTCCAGGCTCTCTTGCAGCCAGGATGGGTTAATGAGATATAGGCCAAGTCTTTGGTTTGAGTGTTCAGAGAGGATCTTTACATGAGGGCTGAGGTAGCAACAGGCTCTTCTTTCTTTCTGCATCCTGGAATATGGACATGAGGGCTGGGGCACCAGCAGCCATCTGGTGACCATAAAGTAATTCTGACAATGAAAACTACATGATAAAGAAATTTTTACATAAGGAGAGCCAAGTTTCCTGATGACCCTGGAATCAGGCTGTCTGCCCTGGATTTCCTTTCTTGGATTTCTTTCATGGGAGCAAAGGGAAAATCCGTGTCTTATTTAAGCTTACTATTTGGGCTTTCTGTTATGTGATTGAACCTAATCCTAAGTGGTACAGCTGACTATTTAAACCTCGTCCCATCACCATGATTAGAAAAACAAAATGCTCCCTTTGTATACAAAAAGCAGAACATTAAAAAAAAAACTCCTTATCATCATCTCTGGTTTTTTTTTTTTGGGCTTTAATCAAATTCTCTGAATATTCTGTGCTCAGATTTATGGTAAATTAAAAAGCAAAGACAAAATGAATCCTGGGTTGGAATAAATGAAGCTAGCTCATTGGTTCATACACAGCTTAAATTGCCTAAACTGGATGGTGAGTTCCTACCCAGAGAAGACAATCCTTTTGGTACAAAGGCCTTCAGAGGGCTGTGCAGGTAACCCGCCATTCTCTGGTGGCCATGGGTGTTAGCT